ATCTCCTGAACTATAAAATTTCGGACCACATATAGAGCGGTTCATTCGATATGTTTTGAGGCCCTCTATCACTTGACTTCCGTTGATCCACTACTAACTTTACACCATGTATATACAGGGTGGCTAAACGAGTGACGTCATAAAAAAAAATAAGTTCCTTAGGTCGAGAGATATATTCGGATTCCTCAAGAATTTTCGTGTTTCGTGCTTATTTTGGCCATAACTTCGTAAATAATTGTGATAAATGCCTGTTTTTCTTTTTCGTTATTATTTAGGTAAAACTTGAGGCTTAACTATCGTAAGATCAATGTAGTCAACTAACTAATACTACCTTGTTAGTTTTATTAAAACAGTCGAACATAACAGAAAAATGAAAAAGTGCAATAACTTAGAATGCTTTTTAAAGATAGAACGTATTAGCGGAAAAATGTGCAATCGGCTCAGGATTGCCATGAAAATGCAATTTGGAGGTGTGGCCAGGAGGTTTTACTGTACCTACAATCTACCTCGGGTCCTGCGATAGCGTTAGCTAAATACACTTTTTTGAAGAATGCCATATGCCTTTCACAAAAATACTTCGGTTATTGTTTTTCCTATATTATAGTTATAATCTATTTACTTTTTGTATGTATTTACTTGAAGAATTATTTAAAGTGAAGCCGATGTCACAAAATATATCTGATTAAATGTGATATATGAGAAGTTACTGAAAAAGTAGCTATTGCCAGTCACTGAATAATGAAAACATAACAAAGAAGAACATGCAAGTTTTTTGATGATTTGATGAAATGGTCTTTGATCTTTATTTAACTATAATGTTGAACGATGATATATTGGGTGGACCTGGCGACGTGGTCCAAATCGACGAATCGAAGTTGGGTATTTTCATATGCAATGACCGCTGGTGCTTTTGTATTTTTTATGTCACGCGAGCCACTGGAACATTTTCCACTATTTAGACACGTATCTACTGTTCAAAATTTCAGTAAATATTGGGACAACTTCTTATAAAACAAGTCATTTACAATAAATTAAGACTTTTATTTTACAAATAACCTCATTTTTTTATTACGTATTTCTCCAAAAAAAGCACAACTTGACAACAATGGATATCATTTATCTTATCTGTCATGAAATGAACGTTATAAAATGGAAATTTGGAATTATTTGTACTTTCAAATATTTTTTATAAACGCAAAAACTTTGATCTCATTGAAAATACGCGAAACAAAATGGTTAACGAATTAACGAAGACCTGAAAAAATCTCAACACAACACCTCTACACAGTTTACCAAGTAGATACCATCATTTACTATATGTATTTTGAACTCTGTTATTTTAGCTTATTACGCGGCAAGTTTTGAACCTTTTTTTGCAAAAAAGAACGATTTTTTATAGTTTCACATCTATTTTTGGAGAAATTATACTTTAGCGCATATCGCAAATATTTTATTTTTTTATTTAAAATGAAAGATTAGGATGTACCTTTTACGAAAATATCATTTTTTCTTTAACGAACCATCAGCTTGCTATTTTATAGAACTTGAAAGTTGCATTTTAATACTCTAGAATATTGTAGCATTTTTCTGGGTTCTTTTGGGTGTGGATTAAAACACTGGATTCCACAAAAAGAAATACACTAATTTATTTAACTTGACTAGATAGAACATTTATGTACACCACTATTTATGTCTGACTACTTATTATGTCGCACCATTCAATGAACTATACTCTACTCTGCTTCCCTCTCCCGGCCGTCGAGTTATATAGTCCGCATCGCAGGACTCGAGAAGATTTCGGTGAGCCACATAGCGGCATTCCACAAGGTCACTTCGCGTCGATCTCGAAGAAAAGTCCGTGGTGGTCCTCAACAGATGTCGCCAGCACCGAAGGAGAGTAGTCTCACGGTCCCCAACAGATGTCGCCACCGAAAAAGAGTCTGGCGTGGTCCCTAGCAATGGCCAACATTTCTATTCATTCTTGTTACAATATAATACTATATTATACGCTGTTTTTTTTGCTTTTTGCTCATAAGGATGCTCTAAATTATAAGAATATAACCTGCACTGTATATTACTAAGGAAAATACATGTGAAATTGTAAAAGATCCTGGGTTTTTCAAAGAAAAAGATAAAAAACTAGCCGTATAATAAGCAGAAATGATCATTTTTCAAGAAAAATAGGGCTGAAGTATACTTTAGCGCATATCGCCAATATTTCATTTCTTATTTTAAAATGAAAAAAATAGGATGTAACTTGTACAAAATTTGTTATATCAGCCTGAAATTTCCTACAATTCAAAAAGAAAACATAGCCTCACAGTAGGAGAGCGCTGACGCTGAAATAGAACAGTATAAATCTAGAAATACCACATCCTTTCTGAAGGAGAGCAAATACTGTTAAAATCAAGGAAGCCATAAAGGCGTGCTAAAATAATTATTGTAGGAACGACTGACTATACGGTCCTAAGGAACTATAATTCCATATTTTTGTTACTGTAATCGTTTGTCGTTCGGCGTGCAGTACAGAAAAGTCGATTGAATGGTGAATATGCGAAAACAGTATGTTAAAAAAGTTGGATGTACTAAGACAACTTCAAATCACTGTTGTTTCATCTGTTTCAATCACAATAGACGTGTTACTATTATAAACAGTTTCTATTACCTATTATTGCTATGAGCATTATTTATATTTTATCATTATTACTTTTCCTATATATGTAGAGCAGAAAAATCCGTTTTTCCAGAGGCTGGTGTCATCTGTGCAATAAGTGTTGTACTTTAGACCATACACAGTTAGTTTCATTTTTTTGGTGAGCCATAGTTCATTCAAAAATTTGAAACATATATGAAATATGAAAACATTTGGAGTTTGTAGATGTTTTTGCCAAAGCTCATGTCACTTTTCATCGTCAAAGGTGACAGGTCCGAAGAAACCTCAACAAGTAACAAGTGCTGTTTCACATGTCATATCATAAGAAGTACCTAGCTGATCAATATAATGAGCGTTTAAGCAGTAAACTCAAATTTTCAGATACGCGAGGAAAATCATTAATGAATTAAATAATCAAATAAATTCCATGTCGCATACAATTATGAGGAAGAAATAAGCGACGTCTCTTGTACTGGCTTGAAAATATGCCTCAAAATATAGGATCTAGGATAAATTTAAAATTGATAACATAAATCTATTACGATTTCTTGGGAGTCATCTATTACCAATAAATCTGTTACACATTAGGAAAGAAATCTATTACGACACAAAAACGCTTCCCGGCGATACACACACCAAAGTGATACCTCCTATCTAGACCAGTCTTGGCCACTATTAACCAAGTGGGTAGACATCTGCTCTCGTCACAGATTATACAGATGCGAACACCTGCTGGCGGTCCCGTTGATCTTCGTGTCCCCAACTGCTTACCATATTTCCGGCTAATGTTCATTAGCGTCCGCAGGATTTTTTCCTAGCGGTTGTTACGTCTTATTAGCAAGACGTCACGAATGTCATATGTCAAACAACATAATGACCAAATTTATTTGTGATTATCATTTACCCACATTCATTTTGGCGAGATAATTATTTCTTGAAAAGCGACATATATTTATCTATAGTATTGATAAAACTCAATGTTTTTGATAACCCCTAAATCCTAAATGTCACAGCAACATGAATCCTACCAAACGCATAGGACTCAAGTTGGCATTGTAGAACCTGATTTTTGACAGTGTGTCGCCTCTGTATAAGACTCTGTCGTTGGCTTTTCTCTATTCTTGGTTTTGTGGTTCTATTTGTGGTTTTATGAGTATGCTCTGTTGTTTTTACAGACCGTTATTACCGTATTACTGAACAAACCATAGAGAAACCAAAGCCCGTCTGATTTTAATTAAATATTAAATTAAAGTGTCAGATGATGAGGTTTCAAGTGCGAGAGGTAAAACAGTTTGACGCAAATGCTAACAACACTTTTATCATCTCACGTCTGTTATGTTTCGGTGTGGTTTCGCCAACGTATCAACGCCAACCGATTTTTTTTAAAATTAAGAAAAATCACCCATTAACGGCACCTAACCTCAAATCAAAACGATCATCGCCCGATTGGTGCCGGGTATCCACGAAACGATCATATACCGCCTCGCGCTAAGGCCCGTATCGTCAGTCGTCCCTACAATTGTAGGGCGCCTTTATGGCCTCCTTGATTGTCATAATTTTCTACTTCTCCGTGTCAGCGCTCTATTTTGAGGTTATGTCACAAACAGCGCATCAAATTGTGCTTGCTTTTGAGATATATCATGTTCTATCAGCCTGAAATTTCCTACAATTTAAAAAGAAAACATATCTTCACAATAGGAGAGGGCTGACGCTGACACGGGCCAAGTGTAATCTAGAAATTTTTGAAGGAGAGAAAGGCGTATGACAATCAAGGAAGCCATAAAGGCGCCCTACAATTGTAGGGACCTAGGGACGACTGACGATACGGGCCCTAACCTCAAATCAAAACGATCATCGCCCGATTGGTGCCGGGGTATCCACGAAACGATCATATACCGCCTCGCGCTAAGTGTTCACAAATTACGGTAGACGGTAACGTAATTAGTGCCCGCTATCATGAAACCCACAACTGAGCATGCGTATCTGTCAAAATAACGTGCCTAGAAAATACCGCAGCACGTTAAGTGGCATGCGAAAACTCCATAATAACGATCATATACCGCCTCGCGCTAAGTGTTCACAAATTACGCTAGGCGGTAACGTAATTAGTGCCCGCTATCATGAAACCCACAACTGAGCATACGTATCTGTCAAAATAACGTGCCTAGAAAATACCGCAGCACGTTAAGTGGCATGCGAAAACTCCCTAATAACGCGTTACAACCCCTAAGAAAAATTCCTGCGGACGGTGATGAACAGAAGCGGGAAATGTTTTAAGTGACACTAAAAACGTACTGCGCACGCTCATGACCGTTCACTGTACGGTACACGGCTTTGTTGGAACAAAGCCGTGGTAAGCAGTTGAAGACAGGAAAATCAAAGGGACCGACCTTACGACAGCAGGTGTCGCATCTGTGGCAACACTGGCAACACTGTTGTGATGTTCTGTGTCACTTCTCTAGTCTCTGTCTGTTTCAACCTAAAATTTAGAAAAAGAAGCGATTCATTTTATTTCAGTTTAGCTCAATTTTACTTTATAAAGACGTAATGTTAGCGGTTCAGCAAACTAACGATGCTGGAATACCAGATAAAATGTGGCAGCCTCCCTATGTGCAGTTTGATACAACGTAAGTAGTATCTCCGATTTGTCTTTGATCCCTGTTGTAGTTTGTATTTGTAGTCCAACGTTTTCCCATTTCAGCATGGGCGAATTTTTAATAGAACTGTACTGGAAACATGCACCACAAACATGCAGAAACTTTGCAGAGCTTGCTCGCCGTGGATATTACAACAACACAGTATTCCATAGAATTATCAGAGACTTTATGATACAAGGTGGTGACCCTACAGGTACAGGAAAGGGGGGCCTATCCATCTATGGGCCTACCTTCAAAGATGAAATACATCCAGAATTGAAGCATAGTGGTAAGAATTGAATAGCACAAGGAATAATTGCTTAACTATGTGTACATTCCTATGCTTTGTGACTGAGGCAACCATGGAATTATAAAAAAGTGAGTTGTTAAAGTTAAATGCTCTAGGCTAGGGCTGTCCAACTTAATGTGGCCCAAGAGACTTCAAAAAAAATGCAGTTTGGAGGGCCGCATGATAAAATCTTTCTATACAACATTATTACTGAGTTAATGTAAGAATTGTGCATATGTATTTGGTATTTGAGAGTAATTTATACATGTGATGTATACATGAACCGTGAAGCGGGCCGCATGTGGCTCTAGGCTATAGATGGAATAATTCTAGCAGAGCATAGGAAGTTAATCCTTATTGTTTTTACTTCCTACAAAATTGACAGGGAAGCATTGAGATCATGAAAAATTTTCAAAAGTGATTTATGGACTTTATGTGACATATACATCATTCTCTCAGCCTATCTATCTATAACAAGGATACAAGGTTACTATTATGCCAAGGATGACAAAGCTTTGTTGTTTCTGAAAATCAGGATACTGGCGCCGGAGATAAAATTGCTTTACAAAATGAAAATAATGAGTACAGTCCCTACTTGACATTATTTTATGGAGCTCCTACTCAGAATTTTAAAAATGGTGTATTTGTAGTAATAAAGAATGAAAACATTTAAAAAATGTTCTCCCTCCTTGGATGGAATTCCAGATGAGTGATATATTGGTTATTCCACTAGTTGATCTTCTTTGAAATAAGAATATTTAAAAAGAGGAGAAAAACTAATGAAGTATGTTTCGCAAATATTTAGTGGATTATACTTGCCTAAAAATGAACTTATACCTATTACTTTTTAGGAGCTGGTATATTATCTATGGCAAATTCTGGTCCAGATACAAATGGCTCACAGTTTTTCATAACTCTTGCTCCCACACAATGGTTAGATGGAAAACATGCAATTTTTGCAAGAGTTCATTCTGGAATGAATGTCATTAAGAGGATAGGGCTTGTAGAAACTGATAGGAATGACAGGCCTGTTGATGAAATAAGAATCCTTCGAGGAAAGGTTCTAAAAAGTCTGTGATATCTCTTATCCTTATGTTTTATTGAAATATTATACCAAGATACAAATGAATAAACGATTATACCGGGTGGTAGGGAAATAATATTCGTAACTTTAAGAGGTGATTCCTTGCATTATTCTAAGCAAAAAAGTTCATTATAACATGTCCGAGAAACAATCGTTTTCGATGAAAGTGAGTCGTAAATAATTAAATTTTCTCAAACATTTGGCAACGCAACCGCGATACGAGCGCACGACGACCGCAACTGATTCATCGAATTGTTTACGTTTGTATGATATTTTTGTTGAAAATATGCCTTGAATTATTGAATACTTTTAGGCAATTTTTGTGGCTAATATTTTTTATTTAATAACGCTTTCAGAACAGTATATTTACTTGAAAAAAATGACAGAACTTATCGGTACATGGCGATACACACCACCAATTCCCACGATCATCAGTCACTTATTTAAAACGATGCGATGCACGAAAAAAGAAAAAAACAACATCCGTAAATCACATAAAGTTACAATTAAATGTATTAGCAATAGCAACAACACGCGATGATAGTCATGTATCGTTCGCGAACGAGTCGTTCAAAATGAACGACTCATCTAAGTGAGCGACGATTGAACGACTCTTATTACATATGGCTCGTTCAATTGCAAAGCGTGTCTGCAGTATGCAGCAACTGAACTGCGAACTGACAACGTGGTAACAGTACAGACATTATCTAGGGAAGCCAATTGTTTTGTTTCGAGGTATCCCATTAAATTAAAGATGGGATTTGAGGGCAAAAATTGCATTTTGATCCAGGATTCGGTAATTCCTCAAAACCGGACCACATAACCCTTCTTTTTTTGGAAGACAGTTTACATTCGTTATATTCAATTTCAACCAAAAATATTAATACTTAAATAAATACAATAACATCGGCAACTCCAACCTTTAATTTCATTTTCATAGCATGATGTATATTCTCTGACTCAGTGAGTCGTTACTATAGGCAACACAATACGCTCGTCAGCTGCGAGGCCAGTCACTAATCGTATCGTTCAAATGAACGGCTCACTAAAGAGAGATGAACGAAATGTGCGAGCTCAGAGAAAAGAGTCGTATACAATGTTGCCAGATTACACGATTAATCGTGTAATTACACGATTTTGGTCCTTTTTACACGATTACACGAATGAAGTGCCAATTCTCACGATTTATGAGATTTTATAAAAAAGATAATTACTTTTACTGATTTAAAATGCGAACAGCACCCAAATCAATGTATCAACTCCACTTATTCATGTTTATATAGGAAAGTTTTACGCTTTCAATTTCAATTGGCGGCACTGACGATTAATTCGGGGAATCCCGTAGAGCCGGTTCATGTTGATCACGTCGTACGTTGTCAGTTTGGATTCACTACTTGTTTTAACTTATGCATTTTGCTTACTGATACTTCCATCTAGTATTTGATTATAAATCGTATTTAAAATGTGTAATACTTCTGATAGTGAGAGTGATGTGTCGATGCAAGAAATAAAAGATGTTAGCAGTGTTAGTACGCCTAAAAAAAACTAAAAAGTGCGGATTATACACAGAAATAGAAAAGAGACTGGGAAAAGGAGTGGAAGTGGCTGCAGTCAAGTAAGAAAGGTCCAACTTACGCGTGGTATGATAGTTTGTTGTATGATTTTGTAACTTTAAAATAATTTAAGTTTATAATATTTTAGGTGCAAATTCTGCAGTTGCGATATCCTTATTGCGAGGGGCAAAGGAGAAATTAAAAAGCATACCACCACTGCCAAACACATAAAGTCAATATCAACCATCAAATCGCAACCATCTGTGGCGTCAATGTTTGGCAAAAAATCCAAAAATATCGATGAAAAGGCAAAAGAGGGTGTTTTGCGTCTTGCTGGTTTTATAGCGGAGCATAACTTGCCAATAAGATTAATGGAACATATTCCGATTTAGTTAAAAGCATTTGCCCAGATTCTGAAATTGCGCAAGCTATCAAATGTAGTCGTACAAAAATGACTAACGTAATAAGAAATGTTACCGGCGATGAGGGAAAAATGCAACTAATAGAAATACTATGTACAAATAAATTTAGTTTAATAGGAGATTAATCTACAGATAGGTCCTGCTCGAAGCATTTGTGCCTTGTGGCCCGAGTTGTGCTTAATTTTGAAATAAAAGACTATTTTCTAACGCTTTTACCAGTTAAGGAGGCGACAGGGGCTGCCTTGTTTAATTTGATTGAGGATTTTTTCAAAAAACATAAAGTCGCTTATGAAACAAATCTTATCGGATTTGCTGCTGATGGCGCAAACAATATGATGGGGGCTAACAATTCCTTAGCAAGTAGGCTTAAGGAAAAATGTCCCAATCTGTTTTTGATGAAGTGCATCTGCCACAGCTTTCATCTTTGTGCATCGTACGCATGTGAAAAGCTGCCAAATGATGTTGAACAATTAGCAAGAGATGTAAGTCTTGGTAAATTTTGGTGTACATGTTTTCAATTTAAAAATTTTCTGTTTTAGGTGTATAACTTTTTCTCAAACAGTCCAAAGAGAATTGATCAGTACAAAGAATTTCAAGAGTTTGCAAATGTGTTGCCTCACAAAATCCTCCATCCATCACAAACGAGATGGCTTTCCCTAGAATTGGTTATCAAAAGATTGATTTCACAATATAACGCCTTAACCCTTTATTTTACGGAGCAACCTTATGAAGGTGTGTTGCAAGCCGACAATATTTTAGAAAAACTTAAAAAACCAGAGACAAAACTATACCTTGATTTTTTGGCATATATATTACCTTTATTTAACCGGCTAAACCTTTTAATGCAGAGTGAGAAACCACAGCTACATAAAGTATATGAAGAAGTGACATGTGTGTTAAAAACCATAATGGACTGTTTTATTAAACGAGATATTTTAGAGAACATCATGGTGTATGAAATTGATTATAAAAATCCGAGAAATTTTTTAACAATTGATGATATATACTTTGGTGCATCAATTAATGTAAGTAAAATTGACAAAAACATTTTATATTCTGTCAAAGTGAAATGCTTGGATTTTTATGTTGAAAGTACAAAGCAAATATTGCTCAGATTTCCCTTAAAGAATTCTGTAATAGAAAAATTTAAGTTTCTGGATCCCATTTGTGTGAAATCCAAAGAGAAGAACACTATTTCTGATGTGGCGTCGTTTTTTCCAAATTTAATTCATCCTGATGAAATTCAGGAACTAGATAATGAATGGAGATTTCTAAAAAATTACCCTCTGGATGACACTGAGAATGATATTTTAAAATTTTGGAGCGAAATTGCCCAAGTAAAGATAGGAGATTCTCTAAAATTTCCTATTTTAACTAAGTTTGTTTTTCAAATTATGTGTTTGCCTCATTCGAGTGCGGCTGTAGAGAGAATATTTTCCCAAATTAATCTGATTAAAACACAGTTTCGCAATAAGTTAAAAACAAATACAATAGAAGGTCTTTTACATACAAAAAGTTTTATGGAAAATAAAACATGTTACGATTTTACTTTAAACAAAAATATTAGCAGAAAACTCGGCAATAGCAGCCTATTATATTTAGCGGAACATGAAAATAAAGACTCTAGCGACTCAGAGTCTTCGTAACACGGTAACATAATGTTTTGAGTACAAATTGTGTATTTACTTTATTTATTATTTTAAAAGAATATACCTTTATGTTACTTTTTTAAGTTAGTGTCTTGCGTTTTAATATTGTTTTCGTTTCTGATATTTACAATAAAGTTTATTTATTTAATATGGTATTTTGATACTCGTGTCTATATACATGTTATTTAAATTAAATTTAGCATTTTTCGGCTTTACACGATTTTCGGCAGAGGAGTTTCATGATTTTCTTTTAACTTCATCTGGCAACACTGGTCGTATATCTCAAGCCTACGCGATGATACATGCAGTGTTTGCGGAGTACGGCGTTGCCAGTTGTGCGAGGGATTTTGTTTGTATGTTTTTCTTCTGAAAATTGTTAATAAGCAAGAAAATTATTTTGTTAGAGGCAGTTAATTAATAAATAGATGTATTGATACACTTTACACTATTAGGCACATGAATTTAAAATATTAAGGTGCAAAATTAATTTATTTTATGACTAAAAAGAAATAAGTTCAGCATTTTTTTAGCTCCGAAGCGATTGCTTTTTGGACATAGGTTATAATGAACTTTTTTGCTTAGAATAATGCAAGGAATCACCTCTTGAAGTTATGAATATTATTTCCCTAACACCCTGTATACAACAATGTTATGCGTTCTGTGATCTACAGTTCTACACAACTAAACTAAGTACATACGACAATCCTCAACATGTTAGTTCTTTGCAGAAAACATGAATTTTTAAAACCACACCCACTTTCCAATGTATTCGGAAACCGTTCCATGTCATTTTGATGTTTCTTGAGTATTTTAGGTTAGATAATCAGCTTGAATATGAAAATAATTATCTGCTGCATATGTTTGGTGATAATCAGAGATAAACCCTTCTAGTGATAATTTTCTCAGGTGGGATGAGAAAACTATTTTTTAAGGTAAATTTCACATTTTAGTATCGCATTGATGGTTATTGCTTAATAATACTAATTAGTAATATCCAGACTATTCTAGATGATTGGGTTGAAGAGAAATCTACCACTCGTAGTCATATTAGGTTCTACTGGATCAGGAAAGACGAAACTATCACTTGAGCTTGCTCAAAAATTTGATGGAGAAATTGTTGGAGCTGATTCAATGCAGGTAAGGGCTATAAGCCACATTTGAAATCTACAAATTAATATCAGTCTGTCCATATTCTAGATTTACAAAGGGCTTGATATATCTACTGCCAAGGCTACTCCCCAGGAGCAATCTGTAGCCCCTCATCACCTGATTGATATTCTTGACCCTCATGAAACCTTCACAGTGACTCAATACCGCAATAAAGCCCTTAATGTGATTCAAGACATACTAGATAGAAATAAATTGCCAATTGTAGTTGGAGGAACAAATTACTACATTGAGGCCTTGCTTTGGAAGATACTTATAGATAATGATCAATATGTAAATACTCATGGCATCTTACCTCACAATGAACATGAACTGCCAAGTGAAGTTTTGCATCAGAAACTCAAGGATTTGGACCCCAAAATGGCTATGAGATTACATCCTAATAATAAAAGAAAAATTATAAGGTTACTATTAAATATCATACTCAAAATTTTCGTTGTATGCTGCATATTGTCGTTGTTGTTTTGATGAAAACTGCTATGTGTTTAGAAGTAGCTTATACAGAATGACATAAAAAATCTCCTAAATTTAAATATAATATAATAAACCTCTACTGAATTACTGGAATTTCTTATTATCAAACTCTTGAACATCAGATCACAGAGCTCATATTTCACTATACAGGTATTCAGAAAGCTCTGATGTGGAAAAATTGTTACATTACATAGGAGGTTGCATCATAACAATGATGATATGTGAGTAGATACTGGTGCACTCTGGGCGCCCCCCACCACTTCCACTTTTTGGCCACGCCCACCACATCCACCGCGTGCTCTGATTGGCGGATCAAACGGCGGGAAATTTGAACGGGGTTGATGGTATATGTTGATTGGCGGGAACCGCTAGATCCACCGCGTGCTCTGATTGGCGGATCAAACGGCGGGAAATTTGAACGGGGTTGATGGTATATGTTGATTGGCGGGAACCGCTAGATCCACCGCGTGCTCTGATTGGTGGATCAGACGGCGGGAAGTTTGAACGGGTTGATGGTATATGTTGATTGGCGGGCCCCGTTAGATAGCGCACCCGACCGGAAGTGATTCAGACAGCCGACGATAGTAAGGTGTAGTATAACGTCTATGCGTAAGCGATGTGACTCATTTCATGTTTTGCGGTAAATATTTGCATATAGATCGATAAAAGCCCATGAATAATGATATTTATAGATGCAATTCTGCTGATTCAGTTTAAATGGAAAAACGTATAAAATTCGCGGGAAACAATGCGTATAGGATGATCTCAATAATCAACACGTCATATTCAGTGTGCATATAAAAATGGAATTGCTCATATATGTGGTGCATACAGTTAATGTTAGTTAATTTTTAACATTGATACAATATTGAAAACCTACGTCGCAAATGAGGTTAGGTTCAGGGCAGGTGTTGTCGTAGCGGTGATATGCAAGAAGTACCGGGCGGGGCTGTTAAGCATGGGTGAATGGGCAGGAAGCGCAGGCTGTCAACGAGTTAATACTGACCAACGATAACAGCGGTGACCTTGAAACACTGTGGTCAGTTAAAAAGTGGTGGGGGTAAAATCGAGATTATAAATACCTATGAATCACCGCAAATTATCTTGTCAGTTATCTGCAGCGAACAGACGTGCTCAGTTCAGATTTAGTCGCTAGTTAACGTTTTAGTTTTTAAAAAATGGAAAAATTCTTCATCGTTAAGGATTCTACTAAGAAGATTAAAAAATTTAATCTATATGGGCGAGAAGTGGAATTTAAAATACGACCTATCCCTAAAGACGTCGAACCTGTGGGATGGATCAAAGACGCTCTGGAGGAAATAGTAGCCAAAGGAACTGAACATCTCCAGCCCAGTGATCAAGTTGGATTCACTTTCTGTTCCAAAGACTTTACCCGCGGTCAAGGATGGATAGCTTTTAAAATGTTTTCCGACGTTTCAACTGAGGACATATGGGAGAAGATATCTTCCATCTATCAGTCAAATTCTGTGGGGTTGAATACCGAGACTTTTTGCTTGGGTATTACGTCCGTAAGGTTGCCTGCTGGTCGTGGTAGAGCTCAGAATTTCAATACCTTTGATGAGGAATGCGCCAAAAGAAAAGGCATTATCACCGTTAAAAACACCGATAATTTGTGTCTCCCACGAGCCCTTGTCATCGCCATGGCCCATTTGAACAAAGACAAAGATTATAGCAGAATCCGCCGTGATCGAGGAAAAATACAAGGACAAAGAGCTGTACAACTTGTGGAAAAGGCTGATATTGTTATCCCTGAGGAGGGGTGTGGAATACCTGAACTTCAAAAGCTACAACGATATCTGCAAAACTACAAAATTGTTGTATACAAGTTTGGGTGCAAAGGTCGTGACGTCATTTTTGAAGGCGTGTCCGCTGGTCCGACGCTTAACCTAATATATCACGAGGGGCACTACAGCGTCATAACATCCCTCACTGCTGCCTTTTGCTGCAGCTTTTTTTGTGAGAACTGCCACATTCCGTATAATACTAAACAAATTCATAGATGTGATAAACAATGTTATGCTTGTAAAAGATCTCCGGCCTGCCTGAAAACGAAGCACATCAAATGCAAAGAATGTAATAGAAGCTTTTATGGACAAGAATGTTTTAACGCTCATTTACCATCGGTCTGTTCTAAAATTAAAAGATGTGTAGACTGTTTTAAAGTTCACAACGGTAATGATCACATCTGCGGATATATACTTTGTAAAACATGTTATAAAAATCAACCAATTGAACATATGTGCTATATACAGCCTGACAGAAGTATTCCTAAATCAAATGATGTCTTATTAATATTTTACGATTTGGAAACCCGTCAGGAGAAGGAATTACCCAATGGATCTTTACTGCATGAGCCAAATCTATGTGTATTCAAACAATGTTGTGAATCATGTACCGATAATCCTATATGCAAGAAATGTGGCCTTCGAATACAGATTCTTCGATGTCAAGACGTCATTTCTCCATTTATGCATCATATTCTGACACTTCGTAAAAAATTCAAGAAAGTCATTGTACTGGCGCATAATGGTGGAGGATTTGATCATCAGTTTCTACTTCGTTACATTTTAGAGAAGACTAGTCTGTACCCGAATGTAATTATGAGAGGAACAAAATTAATATTGATGGAGGTAGGAAATGTAAAATTTCTGGATTCTCTCAATTATTTTCCTATGCCTCTAACTGCTCTACCCAAGGCGTTTGATTTGAAAGAGCTAAAGAAAGGATACTTTCCACATTTATTCAACACTTTGGCTCATCAGAATTATGTAGGGCCAATTCCAGCGCTCGACTTCTACGATCCCGACCATTTAAAGGAAGACGCTCGGGAAAAATTATTAAAATGGCATGGCGAAAGACAAGCGGAGGGATACGTTTTTGATTTTCAGAAAGAAATCGTTGAATACTGTATCTCCGATGTGGAAATATTGACACAGGCGTGTCTCAAATTTCGAGACCTGATGAAAACCGAAACCACAGTCGATCCCTTCCAGGAAAGCACCACTATTGCATCATGCTGTAACAAAGTCTTTAGACGCAATTTTTTAAAACCTGAGACGATCGGGGTAATTCCAAAAGGGGGCTATAGATGGCGTGAAAATCAGTCAAAAATTGCCATCCAATGGCTGTTGTGGGAGGAACATCAAAGAGGAATCAAAATTCAACACGCCGCTAAGGGTATAGAAACCATTGTTAAGGGACATAAAGTAGACGGTTTTTGTAGCGACACAAATCAAGTGTTTGAATTCCAAGGATGCTATTTTCACGGTTGCCCTCGATGTTTCAAATACAACAGAAGCAATCCTCTGCATAATGATCCGTTGAATACATTGGAAAGTCGATACGAACAATCAGTTAGCAAAGTAGAGAGACTCCGAAGCCTTGGACTAGAAGTAATTGAGATATGGGAATGTCAATTTCGAGGAATGCTAAACGATGAAATTAGAGCCTTCACAGAAGCACATCCATTGATAATCAATTTACCGATTAACCCCAGAGACGCTCTCTACGGGGGACGTACAGAAAATATCGTTGAATACTACAAGATCAAAACAAATGAATGCATAAAATATGTCGATATATGTTCCCTGTACCCCTTCATCTGTAAATATGGAAAATTTCCGGTGGGTCATCCAAAAAAAATTTACGTAGGTGAAGAATGTGTTACAGCCTCTCTGTCGCAGATGTCAGGACTTATTAAATGCCAGATTCTACCGAACCAGAACTTATATCACCCCGTTTTACCGTCAAAAATGAACAACAAATTGATGTTTGTTAACTGTCAAAAATGTGGTGAAGATTTCGTTCGAGAAGAGTGTCAGCATTCTATTCAAGAAAGAAGCCTAAAAGGAACTTGGGTGATAGAAGAGGTGCTCAAAGCTATTGAAAAAGGTTACCAGATTATAGAGACTTACGAAATATGGGAATACGATACAATTCAGCTCAGTAAAGACCAAGAGGGGTTATTTAGCGGAATGATGAACAAGTTTCTACAAATAAAACAACAAGCTTCAGGATGGCCCAAACATTGCTTAACGGATGAAGAAAAAAACCGTTATATTGATGCATTTTTGGATAGAGAAGACATAAAGCTGGAATTTTCAAAAATTATAGAGAACCCCTGTTTGAGATCGTTAGCTAAACTTATGCTGAATTCCTTTTGGGGTAAATTTGCTCAAAAAGAAAACCAAAACAAAACCTCAATAGTCAGAGACTGTGGTGAATTCTTTGATATGCTGACTAATCCTTCTATTCATGTAAATACAGTTCTCCCGGTAAACGAAGAAACCCTTCTCATAACTTGGGAATTTAGAGAAGAGGCCTATGACGTTTCTTCAACGGTTAACGTTGTATTGGCTTCATATGTCACGGCCCTAGCTAGACTAAAATTATATTCATTCTTGGAGAAAGTGGAAGAAAGGGCAGTTTACGTAGATACAGATTCATGTATTTATATCTCTCGTAAGGGATTAGACGACATATCTACAGGCGACTTCATAGGTGATATGACCGATGAGCTCAATGGGGGTTTCATATCAGAGTTTGTTTCTGGAGGACCTAAGAACTACGCCTACAAATATACTACTTTGTCTGGAGAGGAACAGATCGTATGTAAAGTAAAAGGCATATCACTCAACTACAAGGCATCCCAAGTAGTCAATTTTGAGAAAATAAAAGACATGGTGCTGAAGAAATCTGATCCTGTTTCTGTACTTTCTCGACAGCTACGACGTACAAGAGAGCATGCAGTAGTAACAGTCGAGTTTCCTAAGGTATACAAGATAACTTCAATGAAAAGGAAATTCTATGAAGATCATACCTCTGTACCATTTGGATTTAAGAAAATAAAGTATTGATTTATTAATGTATGTAAATATTTTTTAATAAACATGTAAAATAAAATGTATGCAAATGATTTTTTGTTTTTTATTTCCCGCCTAATTGAAAAATATTTTTGCACCCGAAATTGTTCAGCCTTTTTACTCCATATAAAATATTTAAAAGTATGCATTGTTATTATTAAACGCCTGCAGTAATATACACCAAAAAAA